TCAAGGGTATCTCCACCTTTCTCTTCTAGAAGATTCAGTGTGGCTGGATTTATGTTGAGATCTTTGATCCATTTGCACTTAAATTTTGTGCATGGTGACAGGTATGGATCTATCTGCAATCCTCTGCATATCCAAATCCAGTTGTGCCAGCACCATTTGTTGTCTTTTTTCCATCGTATAGATTTAGCATCTTTTTCAAAAATATGGTGTTTGAGGGTGTGTGGGTTAATATCAGGGTTTTCAATTTGATTCCATTGGTCTATCTGTCTATTTTTGTGCCAATACCAAGCTGTTTTCAGAACTATGGCTGTATAATAGAGCTTGAAGTCAGGGATGGTGATGCCTCCAGAAGATCCTTTATTTTACAGAGTTGTTTGGGCTATACTGGGTTTTTTGTTTCTCCATATAAAGTTTAGTATTGTTCTTTCAAGGTCAGTGAAGAACTGTGTTGGGATTTTGATGGGGATTGCGTTGAATCTGTAGATTACTTTTGGCAAGATTGCCATTTTTACTATGTTGATTCTACCTATCCAAGAGCATGGGAGATCTTTCCATTTTCTGGTATCTTCTTTAATTTCTTTCTTTAAAGTCTCAAAGTTCTTACTGTACAGGTCTTTCACTTTTTTGGTTGGTGTTACCCCAAGATATTTTATGTTGCTTGTGGATATTGTGAAGGGTGATGTTTCTCTGATTTCTTTCTCAATGCATTTATCATCTGTATATAGTAGGGCTACTGATTTTTTCAGTTAATTTTGTATCCTGCTACTTTGCTGAAGGTGTTTATCAGCTGTAGGAGTTCCCTGGCGGAGTTTTTCGGGTCACTCATGTAGACTATCATATCATCTGCAAATAGTGAAAGTTTGACTTCTTCCTTTCCTTCCTTTGATCCCCTTTTCTTGTCTTATTGCTCTAGCTAGAACTTCAAGTATAATATTGAAGAGATATTTAGAGAGTGGACAGCCTTGTCTTGTTCCTGATTTTAGAGGAAACGCTTTGAGTTTCTCTCCATTTAGTTTGATGTTGGCTATTGGTTTGGTGTATATTGCGTTTATCATGTTTAGATATGTTCCCTTTATTCCTGTTCTCTCCAAGATCTTTATGAAAGTATGTTGGATTTTGTCAAAGGCTTTTTCAGCGTCTAGTGAGATGATCATGTGGTTTTTCTTTTTCAGTTTGTTTATATGGTGGATTATTGATGGATTTTTGTATGTTGAACCACCCTTTCATCCCTGGGATGAAGCCTACTTGACCATGGTGAATGATTTTTCTGATGTGTTCTTGGATTCTATTCACCAATATTTTATTGAGTATTTTTGCATCTATGTTCATGAGGGATATTAGTCTGTAGTTCTCTTTCTTAGTTGTATCTTTGTGTGACTTTGGTATCAAAGTGAATGTAGCCTTGTAAAAAGAGCTTGGCAATGTTCCTTCTGCTTCTATTGTGTGGAACAATTTGAGGAGTACTGGTATTAGCTCTTGTTTGAATTTCTGGTAGAATTCTGCAGTGAAGCCATCTGGCCCTGGGCTTTTTTTGGTTAGAGGCTTTTGTCTATTTCATTAGGGGTT